CTTTATCAAGAAATCGATGAATTTGACCGAGAAATATCTTCACCTCCAGAAATAATTATTGATAATAATAATCAACCTGCTGAAGAGTTTGAAGTTGAACAAATTTTGAATATAAAATATTAACAAAAAAAACTATTTTATCTTATAAAATGGAAAGAATACCAACTTCACAATGCCACCTGGGAACCAAAAGAAAACTTGAACCATTGTAAAGATTTATTAAAACATTTTCATGAAACAAGATAAAATGAGGATATTTCATTTTTTTAAGGAGGAAGAAGTGTAGCAGTTCTCGTCTATTGACGTAATTTATCACAGTAGTTTTACATAGACTTATTTCTAATTTTCTTTTTCTTTTTCTTTCTTTTTCTTTTTCTTTCTTTTTCTATTTTTCTTTTATTTGTATTATCAATAATTTTACATGGAAAATCAAGCTGAAAGCATGTTATAGAAATGTGATAATTATTATTTTAATTTATTGTTATACATGTGAATTATATCTATTATTTCTATTTATATTCTTATTAATTAATTCACATGTATCTTTTTATTCTTTTTATATTATATTATATATATATGTTACTTATTCCGAAAAGGTTCTATGAACCTATGATATGTAATAATATTTATTTATATTTATAATTATGTATTTTTATTATTATATAAAGATATAAAAAAATAAAGAGGCAAGTAAGTTCTTGTCAATTAATTTATTTTATAACCTATATTTGTTTGGAATAATATTTGTTGATATTATTTTTGTATAATAAATAGTTGTTGCTATTTATTCTCTCATTTATAAATTAACGAATTAGTAGATTTGTTACACATTAGAATATTAGTTATGTAGTTTAAGAAATTCAAGATAGCAAAGTATTGTTTTGAAAGCAAGAATAACTCAAGATATATTTTTATTACATTTTTATTTTATTAGGTTAATAATACACAGGGTGATATAGTTATATACTAATAATCAAGCAATCAATCATCAAAAATTTTTATTTTAATTTTTATTTTAATTTTTAATTTTTTTTTTTATTATTTTAATTTTTTTTTTTTTAAGTATTTATTTTATTTTAGATTTTCTTTCAAAATAAATTTTCAGTTATTTTAGAATAAAATTATAAAATAAAATATTAATCATTTTCAAATGAATTATTTTAGAACTATGAGATAATTTAATGAAGATTATATTTATCTCATTTTAACATTATCATTATCATCTTTGATATCATTATAAAACTCATATCATCATTATTAATATATTCATCTTTGTCATCCTCATTATCATAATTTTATCATTTAAGAAAATAAGACAGTAATAATAATAAAAAATTATGAATAAAATTTATAATTCATATTTACTTATCACATCAACAAACTTGATATAATTTGATCAGATTTTTCATTAAATAAATAAATAATTAATAAACTAATTAATTTTATCCCTCATATTTAATAGTTTTTAATTTTGAAAAAATATTTTTCATTATGCATTTGTAAACTTTTGAAAAGTTTTTTTATAAACACAGTAAATGCAGTGCAAATAAATTCTTTTGACTAATAATAATTTTAGAGAAAATACAAAAGTGTATAATAACATAATAACTAAAAAAATAATAGATTTCCAAAAAATTAACAATTAATTTTCCTAAAATTTATTTTCTTCAACTATGCAAAATTTAAAAATTGTTAATTTCATTTAGATAAATGTTTTAAACAAATGATTCAAGAAATATAATATTATAAGGAACTACTAAATCCCATTGTTTTGTATCTAAAATAACAATTAATGTAAATATTTTATATAAAAATGAAATGAGCATTCATATATTGCTAAAAAAAATATAAGTAATTATCATGTGTATTAGCTTCAAATTTCTTTGATTTCCAAAAAGACAAATATCTACTTGTGTATATTGCTTCAGGATGCATTTCATTTGGATTATACAGAATAAAATTCTTGTTTGATTTATTTGCTACTTTAATTTATTTTCTTGTTTTTTTATTTCATCATCATAAAAATTATAATATTTATCAAGTTGAATTTTCAATTCTTCAGCAGTTGGACAATTGAGAGGTCCAAGTTCCCAGCATTTTTCCATTATTTCTTTGAATAATTGAAGAATTTCAGACTTAATTTTAGGTTTAAGCCCTTTGCAAATGTTCATTACAAAGATTTGTATTATGTGGGATATTATAATATGGTGGATAACTAGTTAGAACTTCTAGTATAGCCATATCAAAAGAATAAATGTCAAATGCTTGAGTGTATTCTCCTTTACTTAATGTCTCAGGTGCCATATATGGAATTACACCATAAAATTTTTCTGGATTATTTTCTGCAATTGGTTTGCACAGTCCAAAATCATATAGTTAAAGTTTGATTATTTATATTACCCAAATGAAAAATCTTTATGTATTAAGCCCATTTTATGAACATTTGTAAGTCCATTTACAATAGTTGATAAAATATCAACTTTTTCTTTCAAGTTAATTCTTAAAACTTGTTATTTAACAGTTTTCGAAGACTACCATATTCTGCATAATTCATAACCATCATATATTCATTTTTAGTTGGATTTTAGTGATGCCATATATTGCAATTGTATTTTTACCTTGAAATTTAAGTTGATTTTAATCTAAAATATTTAATAGCATAGATAAAATATAATTATTATATATTTAAATAATGTAAACATGATGATGTTTAAATAATGTGAAATATTTACCTTTTGCAAAAATTCATTTTTTTTTGTGGAATTATCAAGACTTTTTAAGCAAATATCTTGTTTCTGAGACCTTTCCCACTTTTCTACTTCATAATCCCAAGAATAAATAAATCCATCAAGCCATTTTGCTTTGTATACTGTACCAAAACCACCTCTAGCATGGTATGTGACATTCTCAAGTCTGTCAAATGGAATCCACTCAATAATTTTTGGATACTCATTTGCATTTAATTGTATTTGTTGAATAAATTTATCAATTTCTTTATCTCCACTTGTCCATTTATCAAATTCATTTTGAAATCGTTTGACATGACATGAATGACATCAATCTCTTCCAGTATTATCTCGATGATATTCACTACACTATCCAAAATTATTAAAAAATATTATTGATAATTAATTGAAGAATTTTTATATAATATTGAAGCATTGATTTCAGCAATTATGAATCTAAATACTCATTCGCTGTAATATAATTTAAATTGATTAGTTTATAATTGATTAGAGAAATGTTATGTGATATTGAATTAAATTGATTTCAATAAGTATGAACCCAAATACTTACAAACTGTAATATAATTTATATTAATTAGGGAGTTATTATGTTATTGGATTAAATTGGAAAATTGATTTCAATAATTATGAATCTAATATTTACAAACTGTAATATAATTTACATTGATTAGTTTATAAATGATTAGAGAATTTGATTTCAATAATTATGAATCTAATTTATAATTGATTAGAAATGTAATTTTATATATGTAGGTTTATCGTTACAATAAATTATGATTTTAAAATAAAGTTTAATGTAACAATATGCCTACTCTTCTGATTCTTCCGATTCTTCCGATTCTTCCAATTCTTCAAATTCATCTGTTTCTCTAGTTTCTTCCGTTTTTATTGTTTCTTTTATTCTCCGATTTCTAACTTTCTTTAATTCCATTATTTTTTTTTTTTCATTTAAAAAAAGTATCGCATTATCGGATTAAATAAAATCCATTTTAGATTTCTATCTTGTTTATAATATTCATGCGCTCGGCAAATAAAAATTATTATTATTTTTTTTTCTTAAAATATTTAAAAATTCTAGCAAATACTGAAGTATTACCTATTGATTTCGGCATCTTTTTTAAAACATATACATCATAACCCTTTAAATGTCATACAACAAACATTAGTCCAGTATATAAGATAATGAAGGCATATGATTTTTATTTTTAACGTAGATTTTGTTTGAATAAAGAAAGTGGTGCCATGTAAACAATTTCCTTTTCAAAAAAAAAATTCCCTAACATTCTAAGATAAGGGGATATTATCCACGTGCAAGGACGCTTTCTGGTTTAAAAATAATAATATTGTAGATAACAAATTTTGTAATATATAATCTTGATTTTAATTATATAAAGAAATTGAAACCTCCAAGTGATCAAATTTATTTATGTTCTTAAATGAAATGATAATTATTTTTTTTAAAAAAAAATCGTTATTCAATAGGACAGTTTTCTGAATTTATATAATTTAATTATGTGATTTTCTTTAAAAAAAAAAGGGATAAACAAAAATTTCAATTTAAATATTCTTGCGAGAAAGATGGATGGTAAAGTGTTTTAAATACTCGGTCCAATTTGTCATTATTTAATTTATTTCCTCTTTATTACCGAAATTTATAGAATAAGCATGTTTCAATTTAATTTTTAGTAAATTTCAGCATTAATATTATATTTAATGCTCAAATACGGTTAAATATGATTGTGAAAGATTCTTATCATGGTTCTTGGTGTGATTATGATTATAACATTCGTTTAGTTTTTTTTTTCGCATGTAATGTAATCATCACAAAGAAGAAAATATTTTTTTTTTTGATTAAATAAAATTATCTTACATCAATGATCTCAATTATAATCAATTATAATAATGTTTTCTTTAATTTTAAATATTCTAATAAATAATTATTTTGATTTTTATTATTTTTAATATCGTTATTATAATTATTATCATATCAAACTTTAAAACTTTTGATTACTAAAATAAGCTTATTATCTTCGATACAAAAATTAATAAATGCTTGTCTTGATATTATATTAATACTAATTATTAATAAATTATATAAAGCTGGACATGGACAATGGAAAATTGTTTGTCCCAAAAAGAAATCTGAACAAATTTTCAAAATGGAAGGGGACAGGTGATACAGCATTACAAATATATAAATCATGAAATCTGATAAGATCCAAATCCTTGTTTTTTTTTTTTTTTTTTGTAATTATGAGGTAAATTTATTTTGTTTTCTGACGAAAGTAAGTAAAAGAAAGAAATATAATTAAAATTATGAATAATTATAATAAATAGTAAAGTTCCACCAGCTTCAGCAAATGTAAATTTGGCAGAACCAAAAGATACTCCTTTTACACTTGAAGAACTTAAACAGGTAATAATATATATGATAATGGATTTTAATGATAAATATAATAATAATAAGAAATATAATAATAATAATAATTTGTTTAAAAGTATGATGGGACAGATGAAAATAAACCAATTTATGTAGCTGTCAAAGGTACAGTATTTGATGTGACAACCGATCCAGCCAAACGTGATACATATAAACCTGGTGCTAGTTATCATGTTTTTGCGGGTAAAGATGCATCAAAGGTACGAATTCGAATTAATTTATCAGTTATAATTTAAATATAAATAATTTATAAAGTTTAATATAATTATTTGTATTGATAATAGGCTCTTGGTTTGAGTTCTTTACAACCTGAAGATGTTATTGCAGATTATAGTTCTTTGGATGCAAGTCAGGTAAATAATTCTGTTATTAAATTCTGTTATTAAATTCTGTTATTAAATTCTGTTATTAAATTCTGTTATTAAATTCTGTTATT